ACATATGTATGCATATCTACACGTAAAAATATAAAGCTCTCGGCGTTGATCAATCCCTGAGGATGCGCCATGCATTCGACTTCAATTTTTAACTTCGTTTGAGGTGATTGAATGCATATCTGGCCTTTACAATGACTCGCGGTGGCCTCCCGCTAAACCGAGTGAGTGCTGCTTATCCTCCCTGACAAGTCTGAGACCTGCCTGGTACCAATTTACCAACCCCGGAGGGATGGATGGCTTGGTGAGCCATGAGCGCGATATCGAACCATTGACCTTATGTGCGACGTAGAGCACCTATAACCACTGCGCCACATGCGCTCAATGTATACACGTATAAACAATTCGACTACTGCGCCCTCTACGGTCTACGCTACAAAATCATACGTACACAAATATTATATATATAATATATATGTATATATATACGTACATATATATACATATACACATATATGTGTGTATGTATGATTTTTCTAGCGTACACCGTCGAGGGCGCAGCGGTCGATTGTTGTCGTCTTATGGATTTCCACAACAAGGCTATTGTCGAGTTTTCAAGGAGATTCGCTGAACCAATATCTTACGACGTTCAAGAAGAAGAGGAAACTACGAATTGAATGCTAGAAGTACTGGGATCAACACTGTGAAGACGGGTCAATAACGTGTCCAAAGTGTCTAAAGCGTAAACCGTAGGCTAAGCAAGCGACAATCAACAATCAGTCACTCCGAAAGAAAGCCTCGTTGGGTGATCATCTCACCTGACGGAGAGCGTAACTTCTACGGCGACGACTCTTTGTAATGATAGAGGACAAGCAGCCGAATGATATGCGCTACTGATGAGGCTTGCAGGAAAGCCGAAACTCACGTCTATCACTCGAGGTGCCATACCATACCTGAAAGTCTGAAGAAAATTCTATCAGAATATATTTGTTTTTATCAATATCGTGCTACTGGCTTATCCATCAAACAGTGTAGGATTTCCATAATCAGTCAGAACTCTTTTTATTTGACTGCCACTTGCAGTGGTATGATGTTATGGTATACCCAATAGTGTGGAGTGCTGTGCAAAAACATTTGCGTCCCTAGCACAAATAACATAGCATACGCTCACGGAAAAGTGAGATGTGAGTTCGAATCCCGGCTCACGCAAGTGTTTTTGCACAGCACTCCACACTATTGGGTATACTATAAGATCATATCACTGCAAGTGGCAGTCAAAATAGAAAGAATTTAGACTGATTATCGATATCAATGTCTGTCAACACAAGTGGGTACCATGCCGATAGCGGCTGCCTCGCCAGACCGTCCACGGTTGGCTGTTGACAGAGAACGCGTTATAGCGTAAATAAAAGTGCTGTGCAAGAACGAGCGTCGATGGTGCAACGGTCAGCATACGCTCCCGGAAAGAGGGATATCTGAGTTCGAGTCCCGGCTGATGCAAATATTTTAGCACAGCACTCCACATTGTTGAGTGTAGGATTTATTAGTAATGCTGAAGTTAAAGGAAGTTTGCTTCACAAACTATACAGAATCTAATCAAGTGAGTGGCTTGCCATGCCGCCACTAAATGAATACATACAGCTCATGACATTTCAATGTTCCGAATTTCTCCCAAACATCCTGCTTATAACATTCCTAAGTTCTGACTTTGTTTCGAATATATTGGCAATAACATTTCCACATTGTTTACATGTTATTTGGATGCATCGAATTTCATAGTCTGACATAAACATTCGAAACTATTTGGTGCACTCACATCTGGCTGCCCATCCCTTTTTCCCGCTTTGTCCCTCTATGGCAGTCTTATAAAGGTGAAGCCGATTCCTTTTGGAATTCCAAACTAGCCGTCGCTCCCGTTTGGATTAATGGAATTTGACTGAAGCGTGGACCCGTTGAACGATTGGACCTTCATAAGAAACGCCATCACTACCACCAGAATGCTCCCCTATCCTCCTTCTCTTCTAGTTGTGAAAAGAATTGTTTTTATGGGAAGCGAAATTGAACACGGGTCTATGAGTGTGGTGTGTGGCATCGAAACCACTGCGCCATATTCACCTCTACTCAAGAAGAGCGAATAGAAGAGGATGTACTTTCTTCAACACTTAAAACTATCTTTTCAGTCCACGGAGGTCGGTTATCCTCAGTCAGCTCTCAAATTCTTTCCTGAGCTCCACTGTAGCTTCTTTGATGTAGTCTAGCCATCAAGTCTCGTTATTCTTTGTGCCCTATTTTTCCGGCAAGGAGGTCGTAGCCGAGTGGTTGTGATACTCGTCGCTGAGCGCGTGGACTGCACCCCATCCATAACACTCTTCCGCTCTCCGGCAGTCAACAAGAACGCCCTAGAGAACGCCGTAGGCAGGTATCCTCGAGATTTCAAGGAGACATGCTCGAGCAGTATTCTATGTCATTCATGAAGAATACGATAAAAACGAATTGAATGCTAGAAGTACTGGGGTGGGAACAATCTAACAAAATGTGAGGGTAGTGTGGATAAAAAATAAATATTTTTCCGGCAATAATGTCTATGGTTGGTTGTAGACTGTTGTAGTTTAAGCATATGAGTAGCATATGGTTCAAGGTTGCAGATCTACTTTGTAATGTCGATGCCTTCCATCGAAAAAGTGGTAGTAAATTGGTGCGACCTTGGTGTAGTGGTAGTATGCGTCCATGGAATAGGTGAGCTTGGGTTCAATTCTTGATTGTGGTCGACAGTTCCGCGTGTCACTCGGCATCCTTCCAGATCTTCTCGCCACTTCTATGTATTAATTGGATGGATAATGTTGAAAGGAGGTGAAGAAATAATTGCTGAGATCAAAAGCGGTGTTCTCAGGAGTGGTTGGTTCTTAGATGCCGCTTTGTGCAGGTCATAAACGACGTTCACTGTGGTGGTCTGTTCATGGAAACGTCCCTCTGCGTATATCAAAACGGTGCTCTCGAGGGTGGTCAATTCAGAATTGCTACACCTCATGTAGTTACACAAGTTATGTTGTTATCTGGTAGGTCTTCAGTCTCTCTCTGTCTCTGTCTCTGTCTCTCTCTTTCTCTCTTAGCGAGGATTTTTGTTAACCGCATTTTTTCTCGTCTCTCTGTAGCTATGTATTCCTTTGAAAAGCCGATCGGTTGAATCTAATGTAAGAATTAGTCGCTATAGTGTATCCATTTTAGGTTTTATCAAGAAATAATCATCAGAATGGACGGGTCATCTCTGGCAAGTACTAAGGACACGGCTGGCGAGAGCAGTGATACGGCTTCAACTAGTTACCAGCCCTGTAGGTTTTCGACCATGTGACTTTTCACTTGTGGTTTTCCATCGTTTATATCTATGTTTTAGTTCCCGATATGAGCGCAGAACAGGAATTTTTCCTCTATGAGCTCGAAACTACGGATTCTGGAAGCATAGGATTAGTTCTGAGGTTCAATATCACGAATTCGCTTGAAGTTGACACTAAAGAGTTTTAGTTTTTTCGGAAAATTAAAGTATTATTTAATGAATTCAGAGCCATTTATGACTGTGGTGATGTTCGGAAGTTCAGTCGTGCTCTTGAACACCGAATTCATCAGTACGACAGGAATATTCAGAAGGTTTGTCCGTACATATTTGTCAGTGCTTAGCCTGAGCCTCGATGAAGACTTTCTCAAATTATCTTGATTACGACTCATATATCCGAGAATATCTAGTGATATGCAAAATTTCGAACCTTGGGCGGGAGATGAACCTGTGCAACACCTTTTCTTGTATCGCAGAAAGAGAACGTAGGCCAAATGCCCTTGTATGCGATCGTTGACGCCACAGCAAAGGGTGAGACGCGTGTTCAGGTCTCACCGAGTTCCAACGTTTGACATACCGTCCAGCGTTCTTGGATTTATTACAACATTCTCATTTCTACTAGAGCGGCTGAACAAGGAATCTTTATATCTTCATTTTTCATATCCTTGTCATTATCTCTTAGTCATTTAGGTGTGTTCGTTCCATTATCAAGGGTTTGTGGATTCTATGAAAGAACTGTTATTGCTCAAAGATCGCTGTGGTGATATAAAGGTACTTTTCTTGAATAAATTCAAGCCTTTCGGGACCAACCGATCACACCGATGATTGTTATCACAGTGGAATCAGTGTAGCTGTAGTAGTTGATAAGGCTTTTCAGCGCGGCAAAAGAAGTTCTTGAAGTCTTCGTTCTTTTCTTTCCCTCATAAATTTGGTGAAGTATCTAGAAATCGCGAAGGAACTATTAGGCCTTTTCATAAATTTGGCCCTAGAGCAATAACACTAATTTCAATAACCAGATGTAATTAAAATTGCTTAAGGACACTATTCAAAGCACGAGCCATGAGACTCAACACATTTCTGCCGTATCTCCGACAATAAATCAATTGCGTACTCATAGAAGTCGTCATCCTTGGATCCAAAAAAAGTTGTTAATCCATGACACGTAAATGATCGATGTCATAGTTTCTCTTGCTCAGAAACTACTCCAGAGACCGCAAAAGGTTTTAGTCAGACGGCGACAAGTCAGGATGTATGACGGGTAATCCAGCAACTTTCAGCCCAGTTCGCTTTCCCCTTTGTAAATTCGTCGATATGCAGCCTTGCATTGTCTTGAACCAAGATGAGATTGCGACAACGCCGCCGTGACAGGGCCTGATCGCAGCGGTCCAGGTGCTCACAGTAGCGCTCGGAGTTGATCATCTCTTCGGCTGACAGCAAGTTCTTGTGAATCGTCCCACTCCAGTTCCACAAGACGATGAGCTTAGCCTTTGGTGCGAATCGATTTGGACGTGGAATTCGAGTTCCTTGTTGACCTAGTGATAACCATTAATTCGGACGACGATGACTCCTGAAATAGATCTACTTTTCGTCGACGGTGAGGAACTTGGCCACAAATATATTTAGGCGATGGTGTATACTTTGAATAGTATTGTTAAGCAATTTGTCTTGAACTCAGGTTGATAAATCTGGTGTTTATTGCGCTAATGTCAAAGCTTATGAGAAGAATTAGTAAAATCAAGTGGTTTCGTAAAATCAATTCAAAGGTCCACTTGTCTTTAAAACAACGCACGCCTTCCCAAAAGGCTCATATCGAGGTTCTCTACAGCAATGGAACGATGATGGTATAGAATTAATGGGAATATTAACTCGTTGCAGTCTGATGCGACAGCTATCGACGCACAAATCCAAGCTGCAAGTGAGGAGTTGTCTAGGAAAAGTGAAGAAATTGTGAAGTACAGGTATAGCTTTGCTTATCCTTTGTTACCGTTTTGGACCAAAAGATTTATTGATAAAGGAAATTGGTGAAGAATGCCTCTACTGCTATCGACCAAATATCGGTGTGTCTTCCGGTTCTAGAAAACTATGCGAAATTACAAGAACTTATGCAACTCAAAAAGTAGGTACTTCTCTTGTTTGCTGTTCAGAAAACATTGAATTGTACACGAAGTGCTTACAGATACTACCAGGCTCTGAAAGTCTTAGAGGAGTTGGAACATACACATCTGGCTCTTGTTGAGAAATATCGCTTCACTCAGATATTGGCCAAGACCATGTCTCCTGTGCGAAGCGAGATAAAAGCCAAGGTACACAATTGTTTCCTTTAATTTCTCGTCCCTCCTTGATTGAATAAACTTATGGGCGTACTGTTCTAGGACGTTTTTAGGCTTATTCTGAGTTCAAGGATTTCTTGGAAAATGTGAAAAAAGTTGCTTGCCGGGTTGGAAGACATGCTAGTCGATGCGTATGTGGTTTTTTTCTTAGTAATTACATTTGTTTTTACTCTGTTATTTTTGCCCTTAAACATTCTTTCCAGACTGCCGAACAACACTCTTTTGGCGCTAACGAGGCTGAAAGGTCACGGAAGTTACAACAGGAAGCAAAACAGTAAGTTTTTTTCTCTTGAAACTTTCATATACTCATAGATTCTTTCATTATTATTTGAGCCAACTTGTCATGTGGTCTGGTAAGGGCTCTTGTACAGCCCGATACACGTGTTTCGTCCTTACAGACTCGTCAGTCGGGCAGAGCCCGTCGTCTATCAATATTTTCTCATAGTTAGTTCTTTCGGCAGCTCTTTTCCATTACAGAGAGTCATTGAAGACTAACGTTTTACACTCTATGTCATGCGAAATTTTCACCTAACACAGAGTGTTTGCGCACTCTAAAGCTCCTTGGCTTTTTTTAAGGGGGTGGAGCTCCCGAGAGAACTGACTATAATAGAGTTCGAAAGACGACGGGTTCTGCCCGATTGACGAGTCTGTAAGGACGAAACACGTGTATCGGGCCGTACAGGAGCCCTTACCAGACCACATACGAGTTGGCTCAAATAATAATGAAAGGATCTATAGGAATTTGAGCGTGGTCTTAATAAAGCATTCGAAATAAAGGTAAAGGTAAACTCATACATAGATGAACGTCCGTACATGTCATATGGGTCTTCGTACCGCTCTAA